CTGGGTTTGAACCCGCCAGCCTCAGTGCATGTGGCTGGCGCCCTAACCATTGAGCTACAGGCACTGAGCCCAGCCCACACCTTGATTGCAAATTTTTTTAGCTTTTTGTTGTAAAATGTTAGTCAATAGTAGCAGGTGGCTTATAAATTATAAATTATTAATAAATTAGTTAAAATGAAATACATTAAAAATTGATTCCTTAGATGCATTTACTAGCCACATTCAAGTGCACAGTAGCCAAATGTGGTTAGTGTTTATTGCTGTAGATTGCAGATATAGAACACAGGGTCCATGACAGCAGATAGTTCTACTGGTAATGTTGTCTAAAGTATTAAAGTGTATGCACAATAATTTATTTACCACCGATACTGGATTTTTAGAGATGCTTACTATATATACATTTGCAAACTGCTTCTGGTTTTAATATTTCATCTGTTGCATATGCTATATAGATATGTATTTCATATTTATTTTCACCTATATTGAAGTGATGTGTAAGAAACAGTGCATGGCCAGGCATGGTGGCTCACATCTGTAATCCCGGCACTCTAGGAGGCTGAGCCTGGTGGAATGCTTGAGCTCAGGAGTTCAAGACCAGCCTGAGCAAGAGCAAGACCCCGTTGCTACTAACAGAAAAATTAGCCAGTTGTGGCAGGCACCTGTAGCAACTTGGGAGGCTGAAGCAAGAGCATTGCTTAAGCCCAAGAGTTTGAGGTTCTGTGGGCTATGATGCCATGGCACTCTACCCAGGAGGAACAAGTGGAAAAAAAGAAAAGAGAAAAAAAGAAACAGTGCGTGTTCAAAGTGGACAAGTTGATGAGATTTGACATATGAATGTACCTGTGAAACCAGCACCAAAATCAAAATAGTGAACACATCCACCATAAATTTCCTAAGAAACTTTCGCAATTTCTCCCACTCTCTACCTCTTCCCATGCCATGGCTGATCTGCTTTTTGTCACTGTAGATTGGTTTGCCTTTTCTAGAATTTTCTATAAGTGGAAGCTATAATTTTTATTTTTCATCGATTAATTTTTGAGACACAGTCTTGTTATGTTGCCCCGGCTGGAGTACATTGGTTATTCACGGGTGCAGTCATAGCTCACTATAGCCTTGAACTCATGGCTCAAGCAATCCTCCTGCCTCAGCTTCCTGAATAGCTGGGACTACAGGCAACTGCCAACATGCCTGGTTATTTTTTAATTTTTTTATAGAGACAGGGTCTTGCTATCTTGTCCAGGCTGGTCTCAAAATTCCTGGGTTCAAACACTCCTCCTGCCTCAGCCTCCTGAATAGCTAGTATGACAGGGGCCCACCATAACACCTGGCTTATTTTTCTATCTTTAGTAGAGATAGGGTCTCCCTTGCCTGGGCTTGTCTCAAACTCCTGAGCCCAAGGGATCCTCTTGCCTCAGCTTCCCAGAGTGCAGAGAATACAGGTGTGAGTCGCCATGCCTGGCTTCACAAATATCTTTTAATAGTTAGTTTATGGAATCAGGATCCAGGATCCAGGCAAGGTTCATAGCTTCTAAAATAGTTCTTAAAGAATTACAAACAGGGGCTCGGCGTCTGTGGCGCCAGCTACATATAGCTGAGCTGGTGGTTTTGAATCCAGCCCAGGCTTGCCAAACCACAGTGATGGCTGCAACCAAAAAATAGCCAGGCAATGTGGCGGGCACCTGTAATCCCAGCTACTTGGGAGGCTGAGGCAAGAGAATTGCTTAAGCCCAGGAGTTGGAGGTTGCTATGAGCTGTAATACCACAGCATTCTACTCAGGGTGACAGCTTGAGGCTCTGTCTCAAAAATAAATAAAAAGAATTATAAATAGGATTTTTTAAAATCCCTACTATGTGCCAGGCATGTAGACTTAGTAAGTCTACTTTTATAGCAGCCAAACTGAGAGAGGTCTATTTCTCACATCTGCTAATATGGAGAACAGGGTTGTGGTTCCATGGTCATAGAAACTGAGGTTGAAATTCTGGTTCTATCAGCCAGGCAACCCTGAAGTGGGGTGAGGTTAGATGTGAGGTAAGGGCTTGCTAAAGGCACTATTTTGTAGGTGCCCACTGTTGTTATTGAAGGACTATTGTGATTTCAGGACTGTTCTGATTTCAACAGAAATTTTAGCTCTCACTGGCTTTAGACAAAATAATATTAACACATGAGAATAATATCAAGTGTATAATGTGGTTGGCTTCAGGAATGGCTGTATCCAGGCACCAAAAGTTGCCATTGGGAGTCTGATTTTTCCTTTGAGTTCTGCTTTTATTCCTGGGGTGGTTTTATTCTAAGTCAGCCTCCTCCTCCTGGTGGCGTAAATCCTGCAGAAGGTTCTCATTGGCCTAGATTAGGTCACGTCCTGATGGGAACCAATCACTGAGTCCCAAGTGAGATGGCTCTCACTGAGCCATCTTGAGCCATTCCCCTCTCTGTGCTTCAGTTTCTTTCTCTGTAAAGCAGAGATTATAATAGCTTTTACCTCACTGATTTTTTTGTTTTAATATACAACAGATATTTGCTGAGTACCTAGTATGTGCTGGATGCTGTTCTGGGCCCTGCGGATATAGAAATAAACAAAACAGACATACACTCCTGCTTAGTGGGGCTGATGTTCTAGTGGGGGAATCAGACACAGGTGAATAGAAGGCATTTTACAAGCTGATACTGCTAAGAAGAAAAATAAAGCAGGGAAAAGGAGTGGGGAGTGCTGGGAGTTTTTTTGCAACTCTAAATTGAGTGTGCAGGGAAGACCTCATTGAGAAGGTGGTATCTGAACACTTGAAAGAAGTGAGGGATTGAACCATGTGGCTAATTGGAGAACAGTATTCCAGACACTGGAAGCAGCAAGTGCAAAGGCCCTGTGGAGGGAGTGTGCTTAATATGTACATTGTAATCCATGGTGAACCCTAGAATAGTTAAATGCTGTATAAACACCGTTATTTTTGTGGAGTTGCCATTGTTATTGTTATAACAATGTTTTAAATGTTTTTCTTTCTTCTCTCCCATCTCAGGAGCCTCGGTAGGATGACGAGAAGGGCTGAAATATTGCCATGTCAGGTCCTTTTCTGATGGTGGCTGGGACTGGGGTACGGTGGGGAGGGTTGAAGAGGGAAATACACACAGCCTGCCTCCCTGTGTCTCGTCCAGTTGTGTCTGCTGTCTCCATACTCCATGCTAAGGTTGGTGAAGGTCACCTGCTCCAATGCTCCCAGTATCCGTGTCTTTGACCTTCTGGCTCTGGGGTTGAGTGGGAGGGAGAATACATAGCATAAGGCTAATCCTGTTGCTTCTGGTAGTCTGGTTTCAATTCCTCTTGCTGTTAAGGCCAGTTTGTTTCTTTTGTAGCTTCTTTATTTCCTGTGCCCTGGTTCAGGACGAATTTTGAAATTGGCATTTTTCCAAGTTGAGAAACGGGATTGTGACCAGTACCAAATCATTAGCATTCCAAACT